TTTCTTTTTGTGGGTCCGTGTTTCTGCCTTGTTTCACATTCCTGCTGTGTGTGGAACTACTTTTAACATTTCTTGTAGAGAAGTTGTGATGGTAACATTCTTTTTGGTTTTGTCTGTCTGAGAAAGTCACCCACCATTAAATTTTCATTTTGAAATACATTTTTTTGTGACTGTTGGATTCTGGGTTCACAGTTTTTCTTTGAACACTTCAAAGAAGTCTCTCCGTTTTTTTCTGAATTGCATAGTTTCTGATGAGAAGTCTGCTGTAAGTTTTTCTCTTTGTTCGTCTGTACATAACGTGTCTTTTTCTCCAGCTGCCTTCATTTTTCTTTATCTTTTGTTCTCAGCCATTTGAATATGATGTACATAAGTGTGTGTATTACTGTTCTTCTGGGTAATTACTCTCCTTGGGATCTTCTGAGATTCTTGAATTTGTGATTTGATCTCATTCGTAGTATTTGGTAAACTCTTGCACGTTATGTCTTCAAATTTGGCCTTTCCTTCCCTCTCTTTCCCTTCCCTCCTTGTCTTTTTGAGATTCCAACTACCAGCAAGTTAGACTATTTCACTCTGTCCCATAATGGTGGGATATTCTGTTTTTTTTTTTTTTTTTTTTTTTTTCACATAACTCTGAGTTTCAGTTTGGATAATTTTGATTGACATAATGTCCCTTTATCACTGATTTTCAGCAATTTTATTTCAATGTACTTTGATATGTTACATTTTTCTTCATGCTTGTTTTATTTGGATTTTGTTGAACGTCTTGGTTTTATGGGTTTACACTTTTCATCAAATTTGAAAAGTGTTTGGTCATTATTTCTTCAAATATCTTTTGTATTTTCTTCCCCCCTTTTTCTTTTTAAGGTGGGCTTGTTGTAGTATTTACTCTAGGCATAGTGTAGTGATACTACTTAGGCATGATCCTTCTGGGGTCTCTACTTAATGCTCTAAGTTTCCAACAAGTTCTCTTCACTGGCTCAGATGTCTCTCCAAGCTCTGTGAGCTCTGGTCATTGTTTAGCTTACAGCCTTCAGGTGTTTTTTGTCAGCCTCACGGAGTCTCACCCTGCCCACACACAGCTTAGCATTCAGCAGAGACTCACAGGCTCCTGTGCAGTTTTGGAGCTTATTTTCCTGCTCCTCTCTGGTTTTCTGCTCAGCAAGTTTCAGCAACCTCAGTCTCCCTGAGCTCTGATCTCTGTCTCGTCAACTCAGCAAGACCACCACGTGTTGCTTGAGATTCCCCCCATCTTAGTGCAGGCTGCCATGCCAACAAAAATGATGTTCTGTTGTATGGACATATCACATTAAGTTTATCCATTCACCTGTTGATGGATGTGGGGATTGTTTCCAGCTTGTGCTATGAAACAGGCTGCCATGAACATTCTTTTACAAGTCTTTGGGCATTTTTCCATTTTTTTTCTGAGAAAATTGCTAGAAGTGGAATTGTTGGGTTGAATAACAAGTGTATGATTGACTTTATGTGAAACTGCTAAACTGTTTCCCAAAGTGATTGTATCATTTTACGTTCTTGCCAAGGACACGAGAGAGCTTTGGCTGCTCGGTGTCTCCCCTGGCACTTGACACTGTCAGTCTTTTTAACCGGAACCACTGTAGTGTGTGTGTGGTACTACTGGATTGTAGTTTTAATTTGCATTTCTTTGATGACTAATGATGTGGAGCATATTTTACTTGTAGATTGGTCACTTATATATCTTCTTTTTGTTTAGTGTCTGTTCAAGTCTTTTGCCTCTTATTTATTGGGCTGTTTGGCTGCTTAACATTGAATTGTAAGAGTTCTTTATATGTTCTGAATAAAAGTTGTTTGTCAGGTACCTATATCAAGAGTATTTTTCTCATGGTTTGCCTTTTTAAGAGTATCTAATGAAGAGCTGGAGTTTTTAATATTAATGAAGTCCATAAATGTTTTTATTCATAGTTAATGCTTTTTATGGTTTTATGGGTTTTATGCTTTTAGCTTTCACTTTCAGGTCTTTGATACAGTTGGAATTTATTTTTGTGTATGGTGTGAGATAAGGGTTGAGGCTGTTTTTAAAACAAAATATGATTATCCAACTGTGCCAGCACCATTTGTTGAAAGGACTATTCTTTCCCCATTGAATACATTGGTACTTTTTCAAAAATTACTTGAACATGTAGATGTGAGTTGGACTGTGAGCATAACTGACTCCATCTTGAGCCCTTACCGCCTCTTCTGTCTTTTGTGAGAGCTTTACCCATCGAGTTACACAGTAACTGGGTGTGAGGTGGTGAGAGCAGTAGATAGGAGTAACCTGCTGACTGTAAAGAAGAAATGACTAAGTATCAGTGTGGTGATAAGCTGGCCTGGCCTCCTGCATCAGCATTTGGAACTAATTACGTTAAGCTTGTTTATGAACTGCTTAGATAAACCAAGCTCAGCCAGGAAATGTTGTGGAAAAGCTTTACATATGCCTTTGGGTGGTCATCTGCCCCACCCATCAGTCTGTACGTAAATCACCCTGTAATGAAATTCTTTGCCTTGCCTCATGGAACGGCCTATTTCGTTGTTCAGTCTTGAGATACTTTCCCAGTTTGGTGGACATTCTGCCTTTGGCCCACCTTCAGAGAACGGATGCATTTTTGGATTACTTTTTTGGTCTGTGTATCTGTCTGTATTGTATAGTCTTCATTACTTGAAGCCTTTTAGTGAGTATTGAAGTCAGTTGTGTAAGTTCTGCAGCTTTGTTTATCTTTTTTGAAAATGTTATGGATTCTTCAGGTCCTTTGTATTTCCACATAAACTTTAGAATTAGCTTGTTGATATCTATTTTCTAGAGAAGTTTATATAATATTGGTATTTAAATATTTATTTCCTTAAATATTTGGTAATGGAGCCATCTCCACCTGTGTATTTATGGCAGTGTTTTTAAGTACAGATTGAATTCCTTCAATACACAAAGAGCTATTTAGGTTTTCTATTTCTTTTTGAGTCAGTTTTGACAACTTACATATTTCAAGGAATTTTTAAATTACATCTTAGTTGCTAAATTTATTGGTATAATATGATTCATAGTACTTCCTTACCATCCTTTAGTGTTGGATCCATAGCCATGTCCCTCTTTCATTCTAAGTGTTGGTGATCTGTGTGTGCATATGTGTGTTTTCTCGACTTGTCTAGATGGAGTTGTGCAATTTTTCAGTCCTTTCAAAGAATACTTTTTGGTTTTATTGATTGTTTCTATTATTTGTCATGCACTTCTGCATTGGGTCCCTCATGTTAACCAGGCGTTGGCCGAGAACTTGTGCTGCACATTGGACCAAAGAGTGGGAAGACAGACAGGCAGGATAACCCCAAGGCTTTTGGCTTTAGAAGCTGGAGTCGTGTCAGTTGAGATGGGAAGGCTGTGAGGGGAGCAGGCTGGGGGAGAGGAGGAGTTGGTTTTGGACACATTTAGTTTCAGGTGCCAGCTGGACACCCAGTGGAGCTGTCAGGAGCCCTAGATAGGCCACTGTGGGTTTCTAGGTGTGGCTGGGGATGTGATTGTGGGGAGGTGCCATTCAGGTGGGTTTCAGGCCATGAGACTAGATGGGGCACCATAGAGGCTCAGTGGAGAGTGGAGATGGTGAGGTGGTGGTCCACAGCCCCACTGCCGGTTCTGATCCCTAGAGGTCAGGATGGCAAGGAGCCAGCCAAGCCCAGAGAACAGGGCTGGCCCCTGAGCTGGGAAGGCATCAGGAGGAAGGGGTTGTCCCGGGGATGGAGGCACAGTGTGTCAGTAGCCACATGCTCAAAACCTCAGGGTGGAAGAGCTCCTGTCCCCACTGTCCTCACACAATCACAGAGTCCTCTCCTACACCTCCCACTTTCTCTGTGTGCCACATGCTATTTGCAACCCAAGGGCCAGTGTCAGGGTGTTGGGGGCCTTGGCAGGTTTCTGGAGAGCTGGGGTCCTGCCCCTGCAAGCTTTGCCATTACTGGTGGTGCCAGGATCCAAGCTCTCATGTGTTGCCCCAAGGTGCCCGCCTTGTCCATTGCCATAAGGGCCCTGTGGGGAGCAGAGTGCTGACTCACTGCCTGCAGGGGCATTTGGGCTGCATCTGGAAAGGTCATTGGGCACTCTGCTTTCTGCCTGGCCAGTGCCCTTCCCTCACTTGGATGTGTGTACCTGCAGCTGGGCCCAGGGTAGGGTTTGTCCCTGGAGTAACTCCCTCCAGGGACTTGTGGTGAACTCACACAGAAGATGGGCTGGTACCTTCAGTTGCCTTCAAGGTCACACTTGGAATTGTAAACTGGGTCTGTGGCACTGGGAGAGGCCCTGGCCCAGGCTTCCGGTGTCACTGCATCTGGAGGTGGAAATAGGTGCACTCGGGTCCTGCAGATGTGGGCCATGGGCCGAGGGACCCTGCCTCCCTGGGACATCTCACTGTGGACACCCTGCTCCGGCTAGCTTCCCGATGAGTGGCTGACCCCAAGGGGCCTTTCAGCAGGAAGACCTCATGGTCAGACCTCCTCCTTGGTGGTGCAGGCACTGCCCATAGCGGGGCCTGAGGGCTCCAAACGTTTGTCTCTGGGGCTGGGGGGTGGTCCCGCCATGGCTGCCTTCTCTGCTGTGGCGTGGTGTCCACCTCCAGCTTTGCTGTTGCTCACTGTCATCGCATTGTCCCTCCTCTTGCCCTTTGCCTGCTCCGCTGTCCTGCCTTCTCCCCTCTCTTGTGGTCCCTGTCTCTCTGGGTCTTTCTGTTTCCCCCTTTCTTCTTCTTCCTCTGCTGATGTCACTGCTGCCCTCATTGCTGGGCCCTCTTTCTGTTTTTCTCTGTTCCTTCTCCACTTTCTGCCTCTTCCCTAACTGTTGCTTCCCTTCTCCTGTTTTCTTTATCTCCGTGCCTCTCTGTGCATCCTCCTCTCTCTGCTTCTCTCTGCTCCTCCGTCCCCCTCTTCGTTCCTGGGCCCCTGCGTGCTCTGTCTGCTCTCTTCCTCTCCTCCTGCCTCTGTCCCTGGCTCCTTCTCTGATCCCCCAGGCACATGGCGCAGCAGGAGACCAATAAAACCATCGCGGCCAGCGCCAGTGCTATGAAGCAGATGTCAGAGCTTCTGCGTGGCTCCTGCCTGGTAAGTTTCTCTGGGGATCTGGGGTTTGGCCAAGGTGGGGGCCAGGAGGGTGGAGAGGAGGGGGACCACTGTGCCTGTGGTGAGAGCAGGACATGGCAGGGGCAGGACACGGGGAGATTGATGTGCACAGACAGACACGCAGAGCCAACATGGATCCATGGGTCAGAACTCGGTGTGCTCAGTCATTCAGGCAATGGCTGGTTACCCAGGTCCCACTATGTGCCAGGTGGTGGGTGGCTGCTCTGGAGTTCCTGCTCTCCTGGAGCTTATGTTTTGGTGGGGACGAGAGCGCCCTGAGTCTTCCTGGCCAGGCTCTTCTGAATGGAAGTTGATGACCCCCTTTGTCAGTTTCACTTTCCTCGCCCCCTCCACTGCTCTCTCATTTCACATCCCCTGTCCCCTCTGCCTGCACCCCTCATCCTTCACTGCCTCCACCTGCACCTCCCTGTCTACAGTCCCCACCTGCTTCTTACCAGCCACATCATCATCAGACCACAGACATGTCACCATGGTCACGGTCGTCACCGTTCCCACTGCCATAGCCGTCATTCCAGCCACAACTGCCACCGAGGCCCCTCCTCCCCATCACAGCCCCACCTCCGCTATGTAAATTAAATACCCATTAATTTACATATTGTCCATGGCTAATTTTGAGCTGCGTTGGCAGAGGGGATAGTTGCAACAGACTCTTTGGCTTGCAAAGCCTAAAATATCGATCAGTTGGCCCTTTGCAGAAAATGTCTGCTGACCCCTGGTGTAGAAAATACACATAGTGTGGTCTGCCGTTGCTGTGGGCCACTGCGCAGCAACAGAAGGGGATGAATAGCGAGGCCTGCTGTGGTGAGGGTGAGCCTTAGGGTCAGCAGCCGAGTGAGGAAGCCGGGAGCAGAAGAGCACAGAGTGTGGAGGTGCTGTTCGTACGAAATGTCCAGAAAGCACAAATCTCTGGAGACAGAAGGCAGATAGTGGTTGCTGGGGGTTGGGAGCAGGGGCAGGGATTGACAGCAGGTGGGTACAAGGGCACTTTTTGAAGTGATGGAAATGTTCTAAAACCATTGTGATAACTGTTGTGTGGCTGAAAATGATCAGACTGTATGCTTAAATTTTATGGTATCTGAATTATACTTTAATAAAACTGTTACTTAACAAAAAGACCCAGTTCCAAAAGTTGTTACACTGAAAAATTAATTTCATAGGACAGCAGCCAGTTGTCCAGCAATGGGGTGGACAGAGTATTCTGGAAGTCTTAGGCTATGAAAGCGTGTAGGACTTTGCTCCGAGTGGCAGGGAGCTGTTCTGTGCACGATTTACTAATCACAGCCGCAGTCGTTCAGTGGAGAGACAGGTGCTCTCCGGCAGAACATCGCGGCTCCTCGTGGGCGATGTCAAGCAGCGTGAGGGTCTGCGTTCCCGCAGCTCTGCTACGGTGCCGTCCACGCCTGGCCTTTTCACGTGGGGCTTTGCTCTTTATCCGACTCATGCATGCCTTCATTTGTTCATTCACTTATTTCACCCAGAAATGGTTGTGGGCTGCCTCTCACCTGAGACACTGCTGGGCTCCACATCGTGGTGAGCCGCAGGTGTGAGAAGTGCTTCTGTGAAGTATGGGCAGTGTGGTGCAAGCAGGTTGTTCTCTGGCAAAGGTAGTTCCTCATTCAGTCCAGCTCAGTGGGTGTTTATTTAGTGCCTACTGTGTCTTGACTTTATGGAGTATAAATGCTCTGATGAGAAGTGGCCCCTTAAGTTGTGGAACAAGGTCAAGGCCTCCCTCCCAGCTCCCCTGGTCATTGGGGGTTTACCCCAGACCAGGCCCAGCACTGAATCCTGCTTTACTCTTTCGTCTTGTCCTCTGACAGCCCAATGGGGTGGGGTGGGGGAAGTGTCCTGCCCAAGGCATTGCAGCCAGGAAGGAATCAGGCTGGATTTGAACTCTGGTCTTTCTGGGTCCAGAGTCCGTGTTCTCACCTCTGCATATGCCACAAGGGCCATGACATGACAGCTTGAGTTCCTTGAGCTTCAGAGTGATCACTTTTAGCCTAACACATTCTTCCGTCCTTCCTTCCATTCACCCGCCCATCATCCTTCCACATGCCCACCCACACATCCATCCCTCCATACATTCTTCCACCCACCCACCCACCCAACTCAGCCACCCAGCCACCCACTTACCCACCCACCCACATGCTCATCCTTCCACCTGACCTCCCACCTAAGAAACCGACAGACTTGTATTGGATGCCCGCTGTGTGCCAGATGCAGTAAGAAAGGATACAGATAGGATGGGATTCCCTCCTTTGAGGCTCCCATGGCACCTTCACATTGTGAACCAAATAGCATTTGTCACCCCAGGGCACGTGCAGGCTATGATGGGACTCGGTGGCAGTAGCCATCATTGCTGCGTGTCTGTGGCTTCCAGGAGGTGATGTTTCAATGGAGGGGTGGGATGTTCTCCAAGCCAGCCAACAGTGAAGCAGTGGGGAGTGGGCACAACGTGTCCACAGGTGTGGAAAGCAGCTGCTCGCGGAGGTGCGTGGGGATGCTGATGAAGGAACAAAGACGCAGTTCCTGCAGGGCTGGCTGTGAAGGGCGCAGGATACCTGCCTGGTAGATTTAATGCCGTCTTTGGTGGGTGGGGATTGAGAAAGAGAGCCTGTGCCTTCGATGCTCAGCACGTGTCTGCGATGTTGTTCCTGCCACGTGTACTCTCAGTGGTGGGACTGAGGAGAAGCATCTTCCCCGTCCTGCTCTGTCTTTGGGGGTGGTGGCGACAGTGACAGACAGCTCTGCCGCTGCCATCACTGAGCACAGGCCACCAAGGCCTGCCTGGCGGTTCCCTCCAGTGCTTGCTGCTCCCTGCTCCCTGTGGGGCTCCTGAGACTTGGAGGAGCCTCAGGGCAGCATGCACACATCCCCATCGGGTTCTGTCCTTCCTGTGCTAGCCTGGCATGGACGAGGGCCCCTGGGGCCCCTTCCCAGCGAGAAGAGGCCAGTGCAGCCCTCTCTCAGGAGCGTGTACAGATGGTGTGCCTGGGCAGGGTGGGCATGGCTTGAGGCTCTCTCCAGGAGGGAGATGATGGACTGCAGAGCTGGAGGCATTTGCTCAAGAGAACTGAAGCTCTTCCCGGCCCTTAGCTCTGACTGGGAGCACACATATGGTGCCCATGACCAAGCCTCACCTGATCCTGAGACGAGCTCTGCAGAGCTGTCGCCACAGTGTGTGACGTTTAGGCCCAGATACTGCTGTATACCATGGAAAGCCAGTCTCTCCTTTAAATGTGACCATCCTGCTCGCCCACCCGTGGCTCCTTCTCCCCTGTGGGTTTGGGTGGTGGTGTGTGGCAGCGCTGGGAGGTGAGCTTTAAGGCTGGGGGCTAGGTTCGGGCTGGAACTACATGAAGAACCCCAGGCTGGGTGGGCTGGCCTGCGGCCTGATGGGCCACGTCTGGGTCCTTGTCAGAGGCACTGGGAACCGGCTTGGCTTCGCTGGTGCCGATGCTACATGGATTGGCTCCTGCTGTTTGGTGATGCTCACAGCAGACCAGGGTGGGCAGAGCCAGGTTCAAGGGCTCGCTCATCCAGTTCCCCGCCTGACGCGTCATTCTCGACACAGCTCTGTGGCCGCACCATGGTGGACTCCAGGGCTCAGTGGCAAGTGTTCAGCAGGAGGACCGAGGTGGGGGAGCTTGGAGGAGCTGGAGGGGCGCTTCCGAAGTGGGATGTTGGGGAGGAGGTGGTTCTGATGGTAGAGATGAGGTAGGGCAAAGGTCCACGCCTGGCTTCAGGTCCTGGCCCTGCCACCTGTGTGACCTGGACCAAGCTGCCCAGGGCTCAGGACCGTGGTCTCTGCTGAACTGGAGCAGTGCTACTTCTTACCGTGGAGGGCGGTTGTGGGGAATTAGCGGGTATATGGTGCCTTGAGCAACTCCTGGCTTCTGCTGGCTGTGTTAATGATGCCAGTGTGCAGTTTTGTGGAGATGGTGTCTGCAAGGAAGCTGGCTGAGCCTGTGGAAATGTTGTTGCCATGGGGGGTAGTAAAGCAAATGGTGATGAGCCCAGTTCTCAGGGTGGCAGGGCCCTGCCAGGAGGGTGGAGGGGGCACAGAGAGTGCAAGGGTCTGTAGGGGAGGCTGAGGCTCCAGTCCCCAAGTAAGCCAGGCCTTCTGTTTGCAGCAGGAGCGTCTGCAGCTGGACCGGCTGAAGACTCAGCTCTCAGGTGCCATTCAGCGTTATGGAGGGGTGCAAAAGGTGAGGCCCGGTGGCACTGTAGGGTGGGATGGGGCGGGGCCCCGACCCCTCGAGCACCTGAACTGGCTCTCTTGTCCCTGGGGTGTCCTGGTACAGGCCCATTCTCTACGGCAGAGGAAGGGGCCATCCTGGGGTCCAGGGGTGTACCTCAGAGTGTGTGTCATCAACGGCATTTACCTTCTGAAGCGGTGCCCTGAGACACAGACCCAGCTAGCTTCTGTGTGTTGGCGGAGGCCTCTTAGCAAATCATTGTCAGCGCTGGGCAGCCTGGGAGAGCTCTGTTCTCTGGGGGCGTGGGAGGTGTGTTTTCCTGAGTCACTATCTACTACCTGTGCTTATCTGGCCATTTCTTCTCTCCTCTCCACCTTTTTTATTCTTCCTATCTTTCTCTTCTTATATTCTTTCCAACAGAAAATTGCAGAAAAGTCCAGAGCACTGCTTCCCACGGCACAGAGGGGTGGCAAACAGGTGGGTGTCGAGAATTTACCAGTCTGCGGGTGTCAGGGGCAGCACAGAACCTGCTGCCATGTATGTTCCAGGTAAGGGTGGCAAGGGCCCAGGGCAGGGGCCCCACCCGAGGGTCTGCCTTGAAGAACAAACAGCCTTTTAAAACATTGGCATTTTGACCTTTGGGCTCTGACACAGTGCTTGATGTGGGGTAAGCTACCAAATAATGACCATTGACAGTTCCATGACTCACTGGTCCCAGACTAATGCTCCTGCTGAGAGCCACTGTGAAACCTGGATTAAAACACCCACCCACGCCCACACCCACACCCACACTCACACCCACTAGTATGGAACAACCAGAAAGGTACAAGGGCAGCCCGGCCTTGAAAGGCAAAGATTCCAGAATAATTTATGTTCATCTCCACTCGCTGCTCACCCCTGGAGCACCTGCTAGTTCGCATCTCAGCTTGTAGAGACTGAGCAGAAGGTGGTGGCCGGAAGTGGTCTTCCTGGGCTGGGGAGACAAAATGAGAGCTCAGGGCTCTTCAGGCAGCCAGGACTTCAGGACTCAGAATCCTGGAGAAAGGGGACGGCAGCTCTTAGTGCAGGTCCCTGGAGCTGCACGTGCGTTCTATGAGCCCAGGAAGTCAAGCAGGAAGCAGTTTACAAGAAAAGCTGAGCCGGAATGGAGGCATCGTGAGAGCACGAAGACAGAAGTCAGAGTTTGAGGCCCTCCAAGGAGAAGGGACTCTTGTAAACACCACAGGTGTCAGTTGAGACCCTGAAGGATTAAGGCAAACCAGAAATGAGCAGCCCTAACAAAACCTAAAACACAGCCTTGCATCATGTCTGTTTCTGTCTGCCCGAAAACAGTTGAATCCCTTTGGGAGGAGGACTCCATTACCCAGTGTCTCTCTGATTTTTCATGCACGGTGTCTGGAATTCAAACCAAAATTGCTAGGCATACCAGGTAACAGGGTCAAGTTACTAGGGACAGGTAAAAATAGTAGAGACTGATCTGCAGGTGAGACAAGTGTTCACGTAATCAGACTTATACCTTAAAATGGTCATTTTTAATATGTGAATGAAAACAGATGGCATGGTACAGACCTACCAGAGAACTTAGATCTTATAGAAATGATAAAAACTGGAATTCTGTTGTATAATACTATAACAAAAATTAGTAATTCAGTAGATTGACTAAATCTACAATTAGACAAAGAAGAAGGAAGGATTAGTGAACTAGAAGGCAGTGCATAAGAAAACACTTATTTAAACACAGAGGAGAAAGTGTACAAAAGTCTACAAAAGAGCATAGTTGGAGTCCTGGATGGAGGAGGAAGGGAGAATGGGCAGAAATGGTACCTGAGGAGGTAATGGTTGGGAATTTTTGAAAACTGTCCAAATACTTCAAGCCACAGATTCAAGATGCTCTGTGATAAATAGGATATATTTATCCCCTTTTTTAAAAACCACCCTTGGTCATATCATAATAAAAATTTGAAAACCAAAGACAAAAATAAAATATTAAAAGCAGATTGAAATCAGAGAAATCTTAAAAGCTAATTAAAGCTAGAGGAAAAAGTCACATTTGTAAAGGGACAGCACGACAGACACCAGACTTTCCTAAACAAAATGACGGAACCCAGAGGACCGCAGCCACATGTCTGTGAAGTGCTGAGAGAGCACGGCCACCAGCCTTTACTCTGTGAAGGCAACATTTCCTCACTGTGTCTTGCAGTTCCGCCTGATGGAAGTGCATACCAAAGGTCACATGTGAGAGTGCTCATGGCAGCACCACATGCAGTAGCAACAACCTGGGGACAGAGCCAAGCTGCGATAGAATGGAGAAATGACCTGTGCCGAATTCCTACAATGAAAGACTACAGCAATCAAAAGAATGAACTTTGACTAGCAAGGTCCACCAGTGACGTGTCAGGCATGTTGAGTCAAAGAAGCCTGAAATCACAGAGGACATACTGTGTGATTCCATTGCTGTGGAGTTCAAAACCAGGCCAAGCTGCTGGGCAGTGTCAGAAGCCAGGCTGGGTTTTCCTTTATTGGCAGCAGGGTGATGACAGGGTGTTGGGAAGGGTTTTTGGGTCCAGCAATGTCCCGTATCTTGGTTGGAAAGTGTTTTCTTCGTGAGCATTCGTAGAGTTGTATACACTTAGCATCCATGCATTGAACCGTACGTGTTATATTTCAGTAGAATTTTCTTTTAAAAAGAAAGGGAATGGTCCACAGTGCTGTTGAGAAATTGTGAAAGGCTGGATTATTCCGGGAATTTTACAAACTGTAAATGATGTACAGCCCTGTCCAACAAGAGAATTATTGCCAAGTTGACATACAGACTTAGGGGCTGCTGTTTGCAGGCAGAGTGGTCCTGGCAGGAGCAATGGGTGCCTGCCGCCCACCGTCTCTCCCCTGCGCTGCATGCTGGGTGTGGGTGCGAGCAGCTCAGCCTGACTGGAGTCTGCAGTCTTGGCCATGATTGATGTAGCCTCCAGCTGGGTCCAGAGTCCACTTCGGACCCACGTTGGACCCGGCCAGTGACCAGCACCTGCATCTTGGCCGGCCCCTGCCTGGGGCAGAGCTGCGACTGCTGAGCACCAAGGGATGGTCAACAATACAGGTCACGCTCTGTCTCTGTCCTCCTGTCAGCTGATTCAGCGTAGAGTCCCACTTGGACTTTGTGTGTCCCAGGTTGTAGGTGTAAAAAATCACTTCATGTTTGCTGGCTGGAAGCTGCCTGGTCATGCTTCCCTGTCTGGGGCATAGGGCAGAGAGTGGCCCTTGTCCCTTGGCCCCAGTTCCTTTCTATTTAGTATGGGGTCAGGGGAAGGACTGCTAGTCATGCCTGTTCTGATGTTCTGGGCTTTGTCAAGCTGAAGAGACTTCCATAGCTGATAAATAGATAAGTAGTCACTTGCTATTTGAAGAAACTGTTGGCCTGCCTTGGGGCTACAAAAGAGAAGCTGCTTTTCTGAGTCTGAGTGGCTCTTGCCCTGACTTTCACCCTCCTTCCAGGGTCACCAGAGTACACGAGAAAGTGGTCCCTTTCCCAGAGCCCCTGAGAGCCCTGAGGGCACAGGCTTTGGGTCCTTACTCCTGGCTTGCTGGGTGGGGGCAGGCTGAGCCACCGAGCAGAGCACAGCGTGGGGTCTTCTTGAAGGCCACCAGAGCTTTGTCTCTTCTCATGGGAAACTGTGCAGCCCCTTTTCTTCAGCAGTCATGTTGGAGATTGTGTCAGAGCAGGGACTCGATCCCTGGGCTTCGCAGGGAGGAGAAAGCTGCCTTTGTCCGGCTGTTCTTGAGCTGGAAAACCATCACAGGGCTGTCCCTCCGCACTGGCCCTCAGCACCATGCCAGCAAGTCCCTAACACCAGCCTCTGCACTAAAGACTCAGATTGGGCCTTTGTGAGGAGAAGAAACAGTGCTTTGTGAGCCCTTCAAGAGGAGGGGTGCAGAAGGTCAGGGTGCCTGAGCTCTTTCTTGCTTCCCTGTCTTTTGTCCCACGCTGCTGGAGAGGGCAGGCACAGGGCCCCTGCTCTTCCCAGCCACCCTGTGGAGGCAAGGTGCTGGCCCCTGCAGGGTCTCTTTGAGCCACGCACCCCAGCATGGCTGCTTCCCTGGGCCTCCTATCTGAGCCCGTCCCACCGTTGCTCTTCCATCCTCCCGACTCTGCCCTTCCCCCATACAGGGGGTGGTGCCAGCCGGAAGTGCCAGATCCTTGCAGGTCTGCATGCGTGGCCTGGCATCCTCCACTCTCAACTTGTGGGGAGCTTCAACTGAAAGCCCAAACTCCAGGGAAAGTCTCCTGGAATGTCCTGGTACACTTGCTTCGCCCAGCGCCTATGACTCGTTTGTGTGAACTTGTGTGTAGAGTTTCTTTATTGGAACAGACCAAATTTCTTCCAGCTCCTTCTCCGTCAGCAGGGTTTGCTGTGCTGCTGCAGCCAGCGCTCCTACGTCTCTGTCCTTGAGCGCCCAGGCAGGGCTGCTGCAGGGCGGTCCTTACCTCGGTGGTTTATGATATTGGGGGTGGGGTGCGGTTGAGAAATAACCAGATGTGCTCAGGCCGTGGGCTCAGAGTTGGGCGGGGGCATGTCACCATGGAGAGGCGGGGAGCCTGCCACTTGACCCCATGCTGCTCTTCACAGATGTCCCCCTCAGGATAAGCACCCGCAGTCCATAGCTCACCAACACACGGGGAAGCGCAGTTCTTCCTGGTTTCCCATCTAAAGTGGCATCTCCCTGTCATGTGTGTGTTTCCTGGTGTCTTTGCTGTGCCTAGTCCTCCTTTCTTTTATCTCATTGTCCCCTTGAGGTGACTCCAGGATGTGGGCAGTGTCAGCCCTGTTTCATGAGAGTGAAGCTTGCCAGGATCACAAGGCTCAGGGATGGAGCTGAGCTCTTCCCGTGGCCTGGCCACCTGAGTTAGGCAAGCTGTAGGCAGGCCCATCTTGCAGGCGGCTCCCTTCTGGTGGGAGCGAGGCACGTGCTCCTGCACACTCTGCAGGCAGGTTGGGTCCAGCAGCGCAGCCCACATTTGTGAGCTCAGAACTCAGGTCTCCAGGGCATGGGTGTCATTATTCCCATTCTACAGATGAGGACCCTGAGGCCAGGAGAATGTATGTGCCTTGCCTGGGCCTCACAGTCGGTGCCAGTGCTGGGGCCAGAACCCATGGGAGGGTTCTCTCTAGGAGCACTCTGGCCGCTTAGGAGGGGGTTGGGAGCCACAGAAAGGAGGTGGTGGTGTGGGGCCAGTGCCCGCCTCCTGTGCCCCCCTCCTCCACTGCTCACTCCGTCCCCCCACACCAGGAAAGGGAGGTGATAATTACCGCCTTGCACGAGTAGTGCTTGTCAAAGCTTTTTTTTAAATCTTTTATTTTATGTTCATGTATCCACGTATTTATTTATTTAAAGGCCTCTGCTGACTTTCGCCCATGTTAGCGTCGTATGCAGGAAGAGCGTTGGCTTGGGAAGGAGAGCAGGGTCAGCGTGGGCCTTGCCTTCCCATCTGTGGCACGTGGACATGCCTCCCCCTTTCCACGAGGTGCCCAGCCTGCCTTGCAAGGCCCTGAGGGAAGCCAGAGAAAGGAATGTGCACCCAGTTCAAGCTTAGCCCCTGAAGGTCTGTGGTGGCTGATGGCATTACTGTCGGTCCTGCCATCACTGGTGGCCTCAGGCAGAACCTGGGACCTCCCTGCCACCCCACCCCTGGAAGCAGTTGCATGAGCACACAGTGTTCACAGCCTCACGTGCCCACCTGTGATGGCTTTGACCAAAAACGCACTGAAGTTGCTGTTTGCAGAACCCGTTGCTCTGTGCCCAGCTGGAGTCTACCTGTGCTCAGGGCTCTCACTTGCCCATCAGCTCCAATCCCAAGGCCTGGTACAGGGCAGGTGCCATGGGTTCCCCAAAGTGTGCGAGGAAAGACTGGGAGACAGGGAAGAACCCTCTGTCTTTCAGAGTACGTTCTGCAGTCTTCCTTCCAGCTGCTGAGCCGCCCTGCCCCCCTCATCCCACACCAACAGGGGGCGCAGGACACAGGGACACCCGCAGGTGACCATGGCAGAGCCTGGGTGTCTTCCTGACTGCAGCCCTGGACACAAGTGTGAACCACCTAGGGCTGCCAGGGGGGCCAGGTGGGGTACAGTGACTGTTGCACAGGGGCACGGCTCCCTGGTAGCCTCCCTGGAGTCCCACACGGCACCTCTGCTGATGTGGGTCTGCCAAACCCTGCGTGAGTACCCTGAGCTGCACAGCGGGTGGACAGGTTGCCTTTATGTCAGGCACACGTCAGGGTTCTATAAGGAAGGACAAAGCAGAAAGCGAGAGAGCCACAGCCTCCCTAGCTGCCTTGTGGGATGACAGAGGCCAGTGTCCTGGAACCCGTCAGGAGCCGTGGGAGCCCATACCGGCAGGTTCTGTGAGCAGGCTCTGGTCCTGTCTTGCAGCCTCCATCCTCGGGTGCTCCACACACAGATGGCACAGCAAGAGTTCTGGACTTGAATTGGATGAATTGGGGGCAGGAGTTGTACCCCCACTGTCTCTCCTCATGCCCAGTGCTGACATGTGGAGGAGCCCACTGAGCCCCGGCCTCCTGGGCTGGCTCGGAAGGCTGCCTGTGGCAGGACAGCACTGTCTTTGGGCAGGACGCAGATCAGCAGGGTCCAGCATGGAGGGAGGGGGCAAAGAGGCTGCCACCTGTATCCCAGGGCTCCCACACCAGTCAGTTCCACACTCTGTACCTCAGTCTCACCCCTAGGATGACGCCTGGTGGGCACGGCCCAGCTCCTCTCACAGGCTAGGTCCTGGGCAAAGCTGGCCACACTGCTGCCCTGGGGCCCTGCTGCCAAGGCACATGTGCCAAGCTAGCTGGGGACCCCCATGCTTTGAGAGGGACATTTCTCAGAACCAGAGAGAGGATCTTGACCATGTCCTACACAAAAGGCTGAGGAGACCCATTCCAGGGCCTTGGAGATCAGGGTGAGGACAGGCAGGGGTTGGTGGTGGGTGCTGTAGCTCAGTCCCAGGCTCTCTTTGAGCTGGGAGACCCTCCCCCCCAATCTTGAGAATTCTCTCCCATCTTGACCAGTGTACTGGAGGCTTAGACTGAGGCCCAGGCAGCAGTTCCTCCCCCTTCACTGCCATGGAAGGCCCTAGAAGCATGGGGACCAGCACACAGCTACCTGCTCCTCACCTGACACTTGGTGATGCCCACTGGGCTGAGACTGGAGGATGAGGTGAGGTGGCTGGAGAGTGGTTGCCAGGGCAGTGGAGGTATTCTGGGCACCGGCTGAGAGGGGCTTGTATGGGCAGAGTACAGGCGAGCTGAAGGGCAGCTGGACTGATGGGCAGGCCGCAGGAGACAGCCAGCCACTCAGATTTGCTCCATAGAAAACCTTCTACTGTAGAGTGGATGCACTGCCTAGGTTCTAGTCCGAACTCTGGCTTGGGCAGGTGTGAACTCCTTAGGTCTCCTGGACAGTGAAAGGGGCATTGCTGCAGCACCCCAGGAGCATGGGTAGTGAGCAAAGGTAGCTGTGGCCAGTGTACCCATTGGAGCAGGCCAGGCACACAGTGGCATCAGTCATGGCTAGCTGTCCCCACTGCCATCGCTGTTTTCCTGGCCACTCGCTGACCCTGGGCGTGGCCTCAGCAGGAACCAGTGCAGAGCCACAGGGACTTGCCCTGATTCAGCATGGTCCTGGGTTGCCCTTGCTGCGCCTCATTGTCCTCGTCCGTGATGGGAGCTCTTGGCCCCTCCCTGCAGGTCGTCCACAGGATCAGAGGAGACAGTAGGTGCGAAGGAGCTTCAATAGCTGCAGAGCACAGCACATGCAGGGTGGAGCACCCACTGGCCAGGCTGCCGTCCTGTCTGCTCTGCCCACTTTCTGCCTTTTCCTGTTTCCCTCTTGATTTCTCTCTCACACATGTGCACACAATCACACAGTATCATGCAGCTACACACATGACACAGTCACACACCACACCCCCAGTCCCCCAGCATGAAGACAAGCCTTGCTGATGCGGGAGAGGCAGTGGGGAGCAGCGTGTGCCCAGCTTCCTGATGGAGGCCAGGGAGGAGCAGTAGCCCAGATCAGTTGTCTTAAGTGTCGCACATTCTCAGGAGGGAAAAATGTGCCGTACATGGAAGCAGTGACTCCAGCATGGGGCCCGTTCCTGCTGCCTCCTTTCCCTCAAATCTGCAGGGTGCCCCAGGCCCCACAGCCCCACTCAGACCTGACATGTGGGGGCTGACTTCTGAGAATCGTTTCCCAACCTGACAAGTGCACGGGGCTCAAAATGAGAAGAGTCGGGTCTGGGGCATGGGTCACCAGGGTGTGCCATTGTCAAAAGGTCTGCCTTTGTCATCAGCAGAGTCCTCAGGCCCCTTTTGCGGAGCTGGCTGATGATGAGAAGATCTTCAATGGGGGTGACAACATGTGGCAGGGCCAGGAGCAGGCGCTGCTTCCAGATATCACTGAGGAGGACCTGGAGGCCATCCGGCTGCGGGAGGAGGCTATCCTGCAGATGGAGGTGAGGCCTGTACGGGTGCCTGTGAGTGTGCATGTGGACGTGTTCACTCTCAGCTCTCTATGGAGCAGGGCTGGGGACCACGGGAGCCCAGAGTGCAAGCCCAGGGTGCCTGCCCTGCTGTGGCTCCACTCATCCTGTGGCCAACAGACTGAGGCCCATCTCCTCTCCTAGAGGAGCTGGGCCCCATGGCCTTGCCTATGCCAACCGCTCCTCCTGGTCATCTAGTCCATGTGGTGGGGAGATTGGAGTCCAGGGAGCGCCCCCCTGCACCTCCTCTTCTTCCTCCTGGGTGTTCTTGATAGAGCATGGCACTCTGACAGGAGTCCAGGGCCTGCCCTCAGGAGTGCATCTCAGTCACTGTGGCCATTTCTTTCATTGCACGTGGAGGTTTCCAGGAGGCTGTTCAGCTTTGGTGCCTAGTACAGTTCCCATAAACATATCTTGAATGGTTGAATAAACTGCTCAGAACTAACCTGCAATTTGGTAGTGCTGCCAGCAGGTAGTGGAGGTGAGATGTTGGGGGTCCAACCATAGGGAGTGGGGCTGGATGATCTCCTTTTGACAGCTGCTGAACACATGTGGCATCTTGAGAGCACGCGAGTGTGCATGTGAGAGTGTGCATGCAAGCGAGCCTCCTCCCCATGATGCTATGTCTGCAGAATGCAGCAGTTGGGCAGCATGGCAGGGACGCAGGGCTCTGCCAGCTGGAGGAGGGGTGGGGGGGTCCTGAGCCTCTGCATGTGACCATGGGCATGTTCTTCCCTCCCTCTGGGCCTCCTCATCTGTAGATGGAGCTAGGGCCTGTCTGCCCTGAAGCTCCTAGGGGTGGGTTTCTGGAACAAATGTCCCGTAAGAGCAGACTCTTCTAGAAAAGCAGAGACTGAGCAATTTAATAAACCAAGACACTGGCTTAGGACCAGTCACTATCTCTGCTCCCCCAATGAGCAGGCCGTCTACTCTGGAAGGAAGTGGATGCTGTATAGGGAGCTGGGATTCAGCCCCTCCCCCGTCCTCTTACTTCTGGGGCCACCTACTCTCTGCCTCTGATGCAGGGGCCCCCTCTGCACTTTGGCCTGCTGGAGGAGTGGTTATTTCTCAAGACCTCTGTTCAGTGTCCCTGCTGCCTCTGTGAAGTGTCCTTTCCCTGATCCGATCCTGCAGCTCCTCAGAGAGGAAGGCGCCAGCTTGGTCCCAGCCTTGCCCTGGCAGGAGGTAGCAGTCTGGGGCCCATGCCTTTGGCTGAAAGCCATGCTTCTTGCTCTTGCTGAGACTTACCAGAAAATGGCCCCAAACACAAGACAGGGATGTTAGTATCTCTCTCTGCTGGCACAGCAAAGCCCATTTCTCTTGGAGAAGTAAAGAAATGGATCCAGGAGCATCTTGCCTGAGGACTCCAGAGAGGCAGAAGGACATGGCTTCCTTTAGCTCAAGCACTGAAATTCTCATAGGAGGACCACTAGTAGCAGTGGGGGCTTAACCTGTCCCTTGTGGGGCATGGGAGAAGGAAGGGAGGGAGGCATTGCATGTAGATTGCATCCAGGGTGTGGAAGCTGCTAACAGAAGCACCCGCTACCAAAGGGACCCGTAGCTGACCTCATCCAAGCGTCCCCAGCTCTGGGGACCTCAATCCGTCCCCAACCAAAGGCCGAGAAGTGCTTTATCTTGCAGGATTTGCACCCCTCTGTGCTCGTGCCGTTGATTATGGGGACTTCTCCCAGCCATGGCCAGTCTGAAGGAAAAGCCCCTCCACCGCCTGTTCGGAACAGTGCCGATGGCGTTAACGTAGGTTAACATCTATGTTAACCTAATCAAACAGACCTGCTATAACCTGTTACGCTCACCTGTCCAGGGGTGAGTTGTACTCAGCGCCGGGCCCCCCGCCCCCGCCTCCGCCACGAGGAGAGCAGGGCCCTGGGCCTGAAGAGATGTGCTGGGGGTGAGGGCTGCACTCAAGGAAGGCCGCATGCTCCTGCCCAGGCACTGCTCATCTGCCAACTCCTGGCAGCTCCCAGCAGCTCCCCAGGAGCAGCAGCAGGTTGTGGGATCCCGATGTAGCCCTGGCATTTGGACTGTTGACCTGGGGCTGTCTGCCTTCTCCCAGGCAAAGTGCATCAGGGGCTGTGCCAGGCACGTGTGGAAGCTGGGTCTGTGGGTGGAGCCCCTGGAAGGGAGGCACCTTGGGGAGTTCCAGGGAGCTGTTCCCCTCACACTGTGTGCTCGTCCCCCTCCTGGGGCTGCTCCTCCCTGCGTGTGAGCCTGAGGCAGCCCATCTCTGGCCTCCCAGCCCTGGGCATCTCCTTGGTGCTGGTCCCAGGCGGGAGCCCCAAACCTCGCAGGACCCTGGTGTCAGTTGTCTGGGCTGGGGGGAGATGGGGAGGCTGTTCCCATCTCATTACGGGAGCAGGAACTTTGATCATGTTTGAGCAGCAGTGCAAGGCTGCACGTGGGCAGGGAGCGTCTGAGCACACAGTTAGGTCGTGTGTAGGAGCCACTGCCCTCTCCATGGCAGGAGCTCTGTTTCCAGGGCTGTCTGCTGCCTCTTGGCTGGCTGTCTGTCCACCTAGGCCCCACAGAGTGCTCTGCAGCTGTGCAGATCCTGTGTGGATGCTGCTGACCAGCGCCCCCTCCCCTTGGCCTTTGCTAGGAAAAAGCTAGCACCTGGGATGGCTGTCTCCATCCTCTGAGCCTGAGCCTGTGAGGTCCCAAGAGGAGGCAGGCCCCTGTAGCCACACAGCAGGGCTGTGACCAGCCTGGGTGGGAGCCATGTCCCAACTTCCTGCTGCACCCTCTTGCCATTCCTCCCACGTCCTCTCTGAGCCCGGTTTCCTAATCTTGGTGGGTGGTCAAAACCGGGAGGACCCTCGGGATGATGCACTGTGAGGCGCTTTGCAAGCTGGAAGTGCCTGTGACCCTGAGGGTGAGGAGGAGGATGCGGGACTGCCTGGGGCGTGGCATGCGGGGCCCTTGCTGTTGGTCCGGATGTTGGTGGGTGAGGCCTGGTTCGTCTCTGCAGGCTGCCAGGGCTCTTGCTGCTCCTCATCTGCAGTGTCCTTCCTCCTCCCTCCTGCTTCTTCCTGGCTGGGTCAGGGTCCCCTGGGTCCTCCAAGGTCCCTCCCAGGTCCTGTGTGGAGCCCCAGCCCTCTCTAGCCCCTGGAGCAGTTTAGTCCTCCTTCCAGGCCCCACACTTCCTCACTCCCCCTCCTTGTTGCCCCCTGGGTGGGCTGCCCCTGCTCTCTGAGGTGGGACCTAGACCACCTTTTCTTATTTGGCTAAGGCAGAACAAAGGTGGCCGCCATGGTGAGAAGCCCACGTCAGGACTTGGCCAATGCGGCCTCTTCTCCTGCCCCCAGCCCTGACTCCCTGCCTGCTGTGGGTCCCCCATGGAACTGATGTGTGCTTTCTGGGTGTGTGGACAGTTGGGCCAGGGCAGAGCAAACAGGTGGCATGCAGACACCGAAAGGACACAGTGAGCAGGAGATGACCATGATCCCACATGGCTGTCAACACCAGAGCTGTTCACCTGCAGCTCACGTCCTCACTTCAGGCCAGTAGGCTGGGCAGAGACAGGCAGGGGCAGCCCTGGACTATGCTGGGGCCTGGGAGAGATGACAGTCAGGTCTCCAGGAAGCCTCCTTATCCCCTAGGGATGGGAGTTTGGTCCTGGGTCCCAAGCCCAGCCACGCGAGTGCTGGGCCATGCAGCCCTAAGGAGGTCTCTTCTCGGAGACTCAGTTTGTCTGTAAAATGGGCACAAGGACACCAGTCTCTCAGGCTGTTGGAGGATGAAGTGCACATGGAAGACCTCCGTCAGCCAAAAGGTGAGAGTGCTCTGTGGAGCTCACTGCCTGGTGAGAGCCGCACCTGAGAAGAACCAGCCAGCTGGGAGGTGTGGGGCTGTGGCTGTCCATGAGCCCCCTCCCTCTGCACTGGGGGGCCTCCTGCCTGCCCCTCCCTTCACTCAAACCCTACCAGGCTCTCTTCCTCCTGAGATGGTGGCCAAGTCTGGGAATGTGCAGGCTGAGCCCTGGTGACTGCTGCTAACTTGGCAGCTTACTTCTAACCCAGGCACTAGCCCCTGCCCCTGCCGAGGTGCCAGTGCTGCTGGTGGCTGGAGCCATGGCCTGCCAGGGAGGAGTGTGCCTTTTCTTGGGAACTCCTGAGGATGGAAAGCACTCAAGCCTAGGAAGTGCTGGGTCCTTGAGGGCTTCCTAATGTGGGGTCCTGAAGGCGTCTTTCATTTTGGCTTTCTCATGTTGTTTATTTGTAAGCTAAAGGTTCATATAAGTGTGTGAGACTGGTGGAGCCCAGGTCACATGACCGCTCCTTAGCTGCAAGGGATGCTGGGAAAGCATGTTTCTGGCTTCTATCTTGGGGTATGGGGTAGGAGCAGGATTCACAAGGCAGCAAATTCTCCAAAATAGGCAGCTCCAAAACATGACAAATGTCCTGTATGTAGTTATTTAAAAGAATAAACATAACCACTGAGAAATCTGTGAAGAATAAGAGTAATAATAGAGACTTTTATATGGAAAAATACATTGTAACACTATAGTAATGTGTGATACCGGAATAAGAATAGATAGGCAAATCATTGGGATGTATTCATATGCATATATACATAATATATAAAAATAGGAATTTTGGAAAAAGATGGACTTAGATAAAGCCTTATACTTTACCTAAAATTTTATCGAAATAATAGATGCATTGAAGAGTTAAATTGATTTTCTAATCTATTAAAATACCAGAGGAAAATATCAACTCTCATGGTAGAAAAGAACTAAGTTTGGTAACACTGGAATAACTTAAAAATAAAAAGATAAATAGCTTTACCTTTATAAGAAAGAGACCTTATATATTTAACAAATAAAATCGAAGGCAGACTGTCAACTGGGAACACATGCAGTAAGTACGACAGGCGCAGAGACGATGTCTTCAGTGTGTGAATGCTTCACACAGACTGTATGATCTGCTGAGAGCCAGCAAAGGATGGGACTGCAT